GCATTTCTCCCAGCCTATTCAGTAGCTGAAAGGGTTGCTAAACCAGAAGAATCTGAGTTTGATTTAAAACTTAGTCTAGAATGATGAACACTGTAGAGAGAAGAGCAAAGGACTGAGGCTGTAGAACCTCAGAATCAGGAATCAGTATCTTAATGGTCATAAATAAAAAGACAGGAGGGATTATAAAATAATCTATACATCAGGAATTCTGCTGCTGAATGAAGTTTGCAAGAATTATAGTGGATAAAGATACTAAAAGAAATCAAATGGTGGCTTGAAGGGGAATAATTCATAGAAAGCCTGGAGTGTCAGGCCACTGTGCAATAAAAAAGGAGCTGGTATTATATCTCTTTTGATAGTCAATGGGTTAATTCAGAGTTGAATGGCAAATGAGGAAAAAAAGGGCAAAGAAGTCAGATAATTAAGTGCTTAAACTGGACTTTATTGGGAAACCTGATGTTATCAAGGATGAGGAAGATGACTGTGAATACAGGAAGAGAAAGAGTAGGTTAAAACCAGAAAGAATGAGTGAAGATGTGAATCACTCATCCTTAGATGAATGAAGATGTGAATTCAGAGACTGGCAAATCATGGATAAAACAGAGGAAGAAAAGACCCATCTTAAAATTAGAAATAGCAGCTGGTGTAAAGAAAAATAATGTTTTTAGAATGGCAGGAGGTAGGTTTTAGATTTGCTCTCTGTTTTTGTTACTGTTGCCGCTGTCACTCTTTATTATTAAAGATAATCCTCATTTTATACCCAGTCTCCGCATTAACAGTGATTTCTAATGTTCTTTATTTTGTCACAATATTTTGATCTACATGTACGAATTTGTGAGTGGAAGTGTTTGGTCATCAGTGGAGTGAAAACAAGATTTAGTCAATGTTTCTGCCAACTTGCAGAACTAGAAGGTGTGAACAGAAATGTGCTAGTTGCCTACTGATGGATCTTCCACTCTTCCGCTATAGAGTATTCTACTTGAAATTTAGCACCCGGTATGCTAAAACTTTGTGAGATTCCAAAGAAGAAATCACTTTATACTCAGGTAGCAAGAGGAAATAAATAATCTAAGGAAACATGATAAATCCATTCCCTTGTCTCAGTCTGTGGTTGGTGGGTGGATTTGCTTCTCTCCCTTACTAACCTGACACATTTTTTTGGGTGCCCCAGATTATGGGACTATTTTTCTCTGCTCCAGGCTGATTTGCTTTGGCAGGACTAGCCTTGCGTTTAATCAGAACTTCCCATTCTGAAAAAATGCTTCTCTTTTGCTGCCCTAACACTTCTTCAGGGGCTCTGGAAATCTGTCTGTCTTCTCTTTCTGGTTATTTCCCACTCTCATCTTCACAAGCTCTTGGCAGAAAACACCCATAAAAATACTTTCCTTGCTCAGACAGCTTACTTACCATATTCATTATTTAGTCCCAACAGTCACACAGGTTAATTGCTGTTCCTTGTTCTTCATCTGGCAAGGATGTAATAAAGCACAGCACTTCATGTCTGATGTGTGTTAATGTGACAGGATTTTTGTATGGTAGTAAATACCCTGGCTAAGCAAAGCTGTACCAGAAATGTCTATGGAACATGTCTTAAGCTTCTACAGGCATAATGATCTTAATTTTAAAGTTTATCTAGAAGTTGATCTTGAAATAGAAACAAATTCCAACACCAGAGTTTCTAAAATCCAATTTCAGATCTGTATCTGTTTTTCACAGATTATTGTTTAAAAATAAAGCATATTAAACAAAACATAAGTGAACTCAACCTTCTTAATGAAATACCTTATAAAATGGAGTTACATTGCTCTTTCATTTCTTTTGGGACTTGGAAAGCTACCCTGGCATAACACTGATCACATTTTCAAGTTGAAATCTCGGAAGATATTTAGGTTCGCTTTCTACATTGTACTTCTTCTGGACCTGATTACAGGGATGGTAAAATGCATGAAAGTATCAGATAAAACCATGTATTTTTCTCTTCAGTTTTTATGTATATTAGTAGGATGTCATGCTACTTACTGTGCCAATTTTCAAACATTTTTTTTTGTGAGTTTATAAGACACTGTGGTTTGTCTTGGATTTATAATTATGTGTCACTGTATACAGCCACTTTTTAAGAGATAATATATAATGAACTCCTATAACTGAATTTAATGAACATGAACTTCATTATATATATTATACGTATTAACCGTATTGTTTTCTTATCACGTTGAAGAAATAAAAACATCAGACCTAAACACTTTGCCTTATATGTCCAACTATCTGATTAAATGCAGTTATAGAAAACCATTATTTACAAACAAAAACCAACCAAGTAGAACTGATTTTCTACGGGTTACCTTATAGCAAGATAAGATAAATCTACATGTATTTTCTAAGTAGTCCTCAATGACATAGGCTCTGAAAAGACAGTGACTATATGATTAAATAAAAACATGTCATGTTTCTGGCAAATGAATGTTGTTGTTGGTTTTTTTTTAAAAAAAAAAAAGAAGGGTCAAAAATGCAGCTTGAAGCTAGTGTCCTAAATTTTGGTCAGTATTCTGTTCAATACTGTTTCCTAAATATGTTCTTTATAACAAAAATAAAATAATTCCAACTCAGTGGGAAAACATAAAAAATATTTATTTCAAAATAAGCAGTTATGAATTTTTAAAGTTGTGTGCATCCCCAACCAAATTTTCATGCATATTCTTTAGAAAGGCAACAAGAAAAAGATAACTATTTCATGCTGCTCAATTGAAATCAGTTCCTATTGACTGCTGTGTCGCTAACATTTCATCTTGAAGTGTTGTCTGAAAATACTCTTCACTATTCTACAGGTCGAAGATCAATGTCTTGAGCATCACTAGTTAGATAATTTAACTTATGCAGTGTTATAAATTAAAAAAAACCCACAAAAACCCAACCATTCGAAACCTGCAATTTTGCATAAGGTGCTGCCGATCTTCCAGGATACTACAGTCAGATGTTGCAAAGCTTTATATAAGAAACTTCTGATATTAATAAAGCATCTTTTAATCTTTTCAGCTTTAAGCAGACTATATATTTATATATTTGTCGACAAAGTGGTACTACTTTTGACATTGTGCTATATCATGACTGCTTTTTCTACATGTTTGTCCATGCCAGGCCTTGGTTCCATAGCACGCAAAAGAATTACAAGGAGCATTGCTATCAACTCCTAAGCCTTTTAACATACATTTGCAGTGCCAGCATGGTAAAGGCATTATGGCAGTTTGCAATTCAATATATGCAGATAAATAAACAGTTGCTAGGCTAGCTAAGCTTTTTGATCAATACCATTAATAATCATTAAATAAACATTCCTTCAAAATAGTGAAAGGATTTTTTTTTACCCGAAAAGTTAGAAAATCTTTTTATCATTAACAGTTAGGGGTATACAGCCTTTTATTAAGCCGTATATTTAATGGCTGGACTCGATGATCTTGGGGGTCTTTTCCAACATTAACAATTCTATGATTCTATGATTATGGAAGAATATTCCATATTGCATGTTATATAAAGTCTTTAGAATTTGCATAATCACTATACATCAACAAATCTTTTCAATGAAAATAGAATATAGATGAGTGCTATGAGTTATTATTCATTAAAACACTGGGATACACTTCCTGTGGAAAAACTCCCACTTCACATTATAAGCAAGACTGTAAGTTTGATGAGAGAGAGATTGTAAATTTAGGTGATATTTTTCAAAAGTTGCTTATTAATAAAAACAACAGTTGATCTGAAACTAGTAGCAAACATGAAGAGAATTCAGTGTATAATTTCAGTGGAAGAGCAAATGAAGTAAATTTTACAGAAAAATCTAAAAAGAGAAATGGATAATTATAAAAGATTTGCCTGTCAAAATGGAAGAACGTATAGAACAGGATTTGACAGGGATCTGTCCTGGAGTCCAGTGTTCATTGTTTTCCCTAATCACCTTGCTAATGAAACAGAGAATAGGGTTACTGTGTTTGAAAACACCAAATCTGGGGGTTTTTCCCCACTTACGTAAGAGGACAAGATAAAAATAAAAAATGGTGTTAACAAATTGGAGAAATATTCTGGAAAAAAAAAATGTACTTGAACAAGGGTACGTGCAAGATACTACTTTGAGACAAGGATGTGAACTGCCTAAGTACATGTTTGTTCAGCGAGGAGTCTGGGTTGTATTCCATTTCACCAGCTCAGTAATTTCAAAGAAGATCAGAAAATATAAACAAGGGTATAGATTGCAAGAACCAGAAACTGATCCTTTTGCTCAATTAAATTAATCTCAGGATTTGATAATAAGGTATTACACTTTAAGAACATGTAGAATATCTGGAGAAAATCCAGAAGGGACCAGAGCAAACAATC